CCTGTTACGATAATTAAAAGATGGTTGTTAATGTCGATTTAGCTAATGCAAGAAAATCTGTTTCTTTTCCTGTAGAGGAATTGACTCATTTTATAAATGAAGGACCTGAAAAAACGGGTACAAATAAATATTAAAGTATGAATTACGATGAATGTTACTTGACTGATCAAATCAAAAATTTAATTCATCAAATTTACAGTTCGTCGTCGATGGCTTCGCTCCTTAGTTGATCCCAAAAATGAACCAATATTTTCAAATGTTGATCGACCATTCCTCTCAAGAGATCAATACTATATTCTAGTAGTAAAAAGATTCAAAAGAATGTTGCAATTAAAAAAATTATATAATCTTCAAAAAGATGATTGGGTTTATTTGATTACTTCGACAAACGAAACGAGCATTTGTGCTCTGGTATCTTGTCATATCAAAGTTTTAATTGAAAAATGCATTTCTTTAGGATAGTATGGTAATTATTTGTACATTTTAACAGCATGATCTTTTTTTTATTCCAACCTTGGAAAGACAAATGTCTGAAGAACAAAGTTCTAAATGGCTTCCTTTGGCCAAGAACTATTCAATTCTTGGATGGTAATATTTTTAATTTAATAATTATGTTTCCATTATTTTAACGTAATCAAATAATCATTACTTATATTGCTTTTTTTTTTCAGTTATCTTCAAACCGAATTGGGTCATGGTTCTAACGTCAGAAAATTGGAGACAACAGCTATTTACATCCATGAAACAGTGAGTATTTAATACTTGAATTGTATGAATTTTGAAAGATAGCTTAGTGATAAATTTAATTTGCAAGGATGAATTTGAAATCCATTCACCAACGTTGACCTCAATAAAATGGTAAATTACTATTTTGTAAAGAATTAAAGAATTTAGAACTTTTAAAATATTTTTCGTTTTAATTAATTAACTATTGTTTATATCCAGGTGGCCTGGTGCACTTGCGCGGACAAGGTATATTACAACATGCCATAACTTAAATATAAATTTATAAACTAAAAATTATTTCAATAGCTCCCATGGTATAGTGTTTGCGCGTCTAATCATTGACAAAAAAGATTATGGCATTCATTCATTTGTTGTGCAACTACGTGGTGAAAGACATGAGCCCATGCCAGGTATTGAAATTGGAGATATTGGACCAAAATATGGATATAATTATAATGACAATGGTATGTATATAAAGAGTATAGACTATATGTAACTGCAGAATTTTAATAATTTAACATCATAAACAAAGGATTTTTAAGATTCACTCGAGTTCGTATTCCACGTGAAAACATGTTGATGCGTTTTTCAAAAGTTTCCCAAAGTGGTCACTACTCTACGCCTCCTCATGCAAACATCATATATGATACATTGGTATCAAATCGGATACGTCTTATAGAATTCTCTACGTTAGTTTTATCAAAAGTTTTAACTATTGTAATTAGATATTCGTTAGTAAGAAAACAGGGAGACAAATATAAAGATTTAAACAACGAAAATTTGATCTTGGATTATCAATACCAGCAATATAGACTGTTTTCTAGCTTAGCGCTTTTGTATGTTTCGTTTTTTAATAAAACATACACACAAAAGTTGTATGAAAATAATATAAAAAATATTGGAAAACCGGATGTTAGCTTAATGGCAGAGATTCATGCTACTACTACGGTATGTTAATAATATCTGTTTCATTATGTTGATATAATTTGGATAATATAAATATAAATATATATTTTTATAGGGATTAAAAGCTCTATGCTCGGATTTGGTCGTTGAAGCTGTAGAAGATGCAAGGCAAAGTTGTGGAGGTATCTTATGTACCAATTTTTATCATACATTGTTTTTTCTCTGATAACACTATTAAACTTTTGAATTTGTCTAAATATAGGTAATGGATATTCACACTTAAGTGGGTAGGTAAAATATAGTCGTCTTTTGATTACGCTGATTACAATATATATATACTGTAATTTTTTTTAGGGGATTATTTTTCATACCCAAATTTATTTTACACACCCCCTGCAGATTTTGCGCGAAGGTATCTTAGCAACCACTAGGCCAAATTTGATCAGCTTTTTTTAAAAAAAAAATTATGGATCCATAGAATTGAAACAAAAAAAAGTTCATCGAATTTGACTTGGTGGTTGCCAAGATATCTTCGCTCAAAGGTTTAAAAAAATCAAAACGTCTGTCAAAACAAATAGTACTAAATTTTTTTAACCTTTGAACGAAGATATCTCAGTAACCACCAGGTCAAATTCGATAAACTTTTTTTATTTGAATTCTATGGATCCATACAATTGAAATAAAAAAAGCTTATCAAAGTTGACTTTGTGGTCGCCGAGATATATTCGTTTAAAGGTTCAAAAAAAATTTAAAACGCCTATCAAAACAAACTGCGCCAAAATTTTTTAACCTTTGAACGAAGATATCTTAGCAATCAACAAGTCAAATTCGATGAACTTTTTTTTATTTAAATTCTGTAAATTCTTAGAATACAAATAAAAAATAATTCGCGGATTTGACTTGGTAGTTGCTGAGATATCTTCGTTCAAAGTTTTAAAAAAATTCAAAATGTCTATTAATGCACCAAATTTTTTCTATACTTTTGTGTGAAGATATCTCAGCAACTACCAGACCAAATTGATGAATTTTTGTATTCGAATTCTATGCATCCATATAATTTAAATAAAAAAAAAAAGCTCGTTGAATTTGATCTGAAAGTTGCTGAGATCTTCGCTTAAAGTTTAGAAAAAATTTGGCACAGCTTCTGTATTGATAGACGTTTTTTTAAGTTTTTTAAAAATTTAAGCGAAGATATCTCAGCAACCACAAAGTCAAATCTGATAAACTTTTTTTATTTCAATTCTATGGACCCATATAATTCAAATAAAAAAAGTTTATCGAATTTTGCCTGATGGTTGCTGAGATATCTTCGCTCAAAGTTTAAGAAATTTTAGTACAATTTGTTTGATAGACGTTTTGATTTTTTCAAAACTTTGAGCGAAGATATTTCAGCAACCACCAAGTAAAATTCGATGAACTTTTTTTTATTTCAATTCCATGTTATCCGTAGATTTCAAATAAAAATCTGCAGGGGGTATGAATAATAAATTTGGGGTATAAAAAATAATCCCCTTTTTTTAATGTGCTAATTATAATATTTAATAATAATATGACATGGTATAACTTTTATTATAACACAGTATACCTATTGTGTTAGAATACTACGCACATTATACAAGTGCAGAAGGTAATATTTTCATGTACAGTTAACTAATTTCAAAGTTACATACTATATAACATACTATATTAAATTCATCTCTATAAACACAACTTAAATTTTCTCGAAACTAAGGATGTGATTATGGAGATATTGTTATTATATTCCATACTTATATTCTTCACACTCATTTATAATGTATAGGTGAAAATACAATTATGCACTTGCAAACGGGACGTTACCTTTTAAAATCTTTCCTAATTGCAAAAAAGGGTTCCCCGATAGGCGGTCGGCTAATTCACCTTTCTTTTTACTCTAAAATACTTATGGAAAAATGTGCCGCTGAAACATTAGAAGATCTTTTAGATGCTGAAACTCAACTTTGTGCATTTCGTCACATGTATCTACGACTTTTATCTGATCTTGATTCGAGTATTGAAATATCTGCAAGAACACATCCACATGGTTATGATGGTTCTAAAGCAGATCATATGATTGATATGGTTCATTTATCTCGTTCATATTGCCATTATATAACTTTAATTAATTCGCATGAAGGATTGCAATCAGTAAAAAAAGAACAACCAGCAATATATTCAATTATTCGTGCTTTAATAGATCTTTACTTTATAAATGCAGTCTTAAACCAATCTGGAGATTTTCTTATAGATGGATATTACACACCACACCATATTTCACTTTTAAAGCAAGGACAAAAAAAACTATTAACCATTATTAGACCTGAAGCTATAGGTTTGGTTGATGCTTGGGAGTTTAGTGATAATGATTTAAATAGCGCATTAGGGAGAGAAGATGGGAATGTTTATAAAGCTTTGTATGAGTGGGTTAAAATGGATCCCATGAATATTTTGGAAAGACAAGGAAAAATTGTTGGTTATGAAGAAGGGCTAAAAGATATTTACTCTGGAAAATATTTAGAGGAAATTAAAGAAGTTGAAATAGGTAAAGTGAAACCTAAGCTATAAACTAGAAAGTTATGCAAGCTATATGTAGTTTGTTTCATAGCTTCATCACGCCAAAATATATAATTATCGAATTACAAATGGGAATCCCGCAGCAAAAAGAGGCAATGGGCAAAAAATTTTGATTTTGTAATTTTATAAAAATTGTATTTTTAATACTTTAATTCTTCAAGAAATTGAGTTTAAAAAAAAATTTTTTTTTGCCTACTGCCTCCTTTTGCTGTGGGAGTTATCAATACTAACAATAAGTTAAAGTAGAGTATTTTGACAAAGTTTAAAATAAAGTTAATATTACTGGTAGTTATGCAAGTCCAAATGTCCGTGATTAATTAATTTCTATATAAAATTTTAATTTTATAGTCGGACCTCTCTCTCCTAAATGCATAACCTCTTTAAATGAATATTAATTATCTAGCCTATTAACGGGCTTAATAAATAAATGCATATTCTTATTTTGCAAATGCATGCTATTTTCCTGGCCCACATATATATAAATGCACATCACGTGAGCATTAGCCAATCAAATCAGGATTATATAATCTCATACAAGATGATACTAACACGTTACTAGTGATGCGACGGCAACGTAGATCTCCCACAAAAACATTAATCAATGAATCTACTCCTAACGTGACTTAAACCTAATCTAAATAACCTAACCCCTAACCTTAACATCCCAATTGGTTAAAAATCACGAGGGGGGAAATTTTTTGTGGGATAGCTACCGTACATTGCGACGGCACAGCTCCAAACTAGTGATAGGAATCAACTAAGTTTTATCGACTAAGCCGACTAAAATCAACTAATCAACTAAATTTTATTAGTCATGCGCATGGGAATATTTCGGGGCTTTCAGAATATTTCCGAACCTCATAATTCTGGTCCGCATTAGCAGCAAGCTGCCATAATGCAGGCCAGAATTTCATAATGTGGGCCAAAATTCCATGTGAATAAAATTTGAAAACCTCTAATTTGCCCAACACCAATATATGCTAATAATTAACCAAATATTTTGATTAGGTGATTAATAAATTGTAGTTTATTATATTTACTTTGTAAAAATTGGACCTGTTGAGAAAATCCCTACCTGGGTATTATTAAATTACTGGGTTATCTGGGTAAATTATTATGTATTTTGGGTAATCATATAGCAACAATTTCTACCCAGGTAATTAGTCAACTGACTAGGACTAGTCAACTAAAAAATTTTAGTCAATTCAGATCACTACTCTAGGCCTACTACAGCATCGGCTCTAAAAACAGCCTGGCTCAAACTTTGGAGCTGATCATAGAGCTGTAAGCTGATAGGTTTATACTATATTACTATTACCATATAAGCACGAAATAATGTTCATCTGTGCATTAATTAATTGACCTGCATGATATTTTGAATATGCTCATGTGCATTATTTCGAAATAAGAGAAGGTTTTCTAAATTCAATATAGTCAACCTTCAATAAATGCACATTGTTGGGTAATAAAATATTCATTATAGAGAATAATCTACATATAA